GCCTACTAAACTTTACTGCCTACGCGGTAGACATAGACAGCCTCCTATCTGAGATTGTTATTAGCAACCCTGTTCTTAAGTACTATGCTATAGTTATAGACTTAGGCAGTTAACAATAGCGATTTAGAATCGCTAGGAAAGAGGACATTAAATATATTAATGTTAGCGAGTGCCCTAATAATATTAGGGTCCTATTTATTAGCAACCTAACCCTAGCCGATCCGACGGCCGACCTACTCGGTAGTAATAACGATAAACCTATACCCCCTAATGATCCTAATTAGCTTACTCGCATACTAGAGCCTATCCGAGAGACCTATATTAATATGTTCAAACACTACTTAGCATCGACATTGCCTATATTCAAAGAGACGGATTATAAGATTAACATTATAGAGGGTAAAGAGGTTCCTTTTAGTCCCCTCTACAACCTTAGTAAACGAGAGCTTACTATGCTACGTAAGTACCTAGAGGAAAACCTAGCTAATAGTCGCATTCGATATAGTAACAGCCCTACTAGTATACCTATCCTCTTCGTACTAAAGAAGGATAGTAGCCTACGCCTCTATATCGATTATCGTAGGCTTAACGCTGTTACTATCAAAGATCGCTGTCCACTTCCTCTTATTAATAAGACCCTCGATCGCCTTTCTAGTGCCTATTACTATACTATATTAGACATTAAGGACGCCTATTACCGCATCCGTATTCGTAAGGGCGATAAATAGAAGACAGCCTTTCGCACTCGTTATAGGCATTTCGAGTACTTAGTTATACTATTCGGCTTAGCTAATGCCCCTACAACATTCTAGTCCTATATTAATCGGGCCCTTTCGGGCCTATTAGATTACCTTTGTATAGTTTACCTAGATAACATCCTAGTTTATATACACTCTCCTAACATTGCGGAATACTAGGCTGCAGTCCGTAAGGTACTCGATCGCCTAAGGGCCTATAGCTTGTACTGCAAACCCTCTAAATATACCTTTGCTACTAAAGAGGTGTCCTTCCTTAGCTTCCTCGTATTAACCGAGGGTGTTAAGGCTGATCCTAATCGGATTAAAACCATTACTAAATAGCCTATTCCTACGTTAATTAAGGAGCTACAGTCGTTCCTCGGTTTTGCTAACTTCTATCGCCGATTTATTAAGGGCTATTCGAGGTATGTAATGCTACTGACTAAGCTTACCAAAACCAAGGCTAACCCGACTAGAGAGTTCAAATAGACTAACAGAGCATAAGCCGCTTTTAACGGTCTAAAGTAGCGCTTTACTAAAGTCCCCTTGTTACACTATTTTGTACTAAGCAAGCAGATCCGTATTAAGACTAACGCTTTATAGTTTGCTGTATTAGCTATTATGTTATAATAGGCTGATAACAATTACTAGTACCCGATTGCCTTCTTCTCGAGGAAGATAATCGATGCTAAGCGTCGCTACGAGACCTACGAGCAAGAGCTCTTAGCTATTGTCGAGGCCTTTAAGCATTAGAGGCATTACCTCGATAGGGCCCAATATACGATACAGGTCTACATAGACTATAACAACCTCCGTAGCATTACTAAGGTTACTAGAGTCATAGGTCGATAGGCTAGATAGGCCGTCTACCTCGCCGGGTTTGATTTTAATATATTACACCGGCTAGGCGTAAGTAACCCTACCGATAGCCTATCGAGGCGACCTAATTACGATAGCGAGACCTAACATATTAATTCTTTGTTTCTAACCCTATAGTATAAGATTGCTATAGCCCGTATTGTTAATAAGCAAGCGTAGGATAAGCGGCTTACCGGACTCCGCGACGGCTTAAAGCATATTAATGCTCTTGCTATATTAACAGTACGTGTTAAGGCAAGAGCTAAGGATATAGATAGGAGAAGTTATAATAACTCCCTAGTCGACATCGCAATATATAGTAACAGCGATAGCACTAATGTAGTTGATCCGGCTGCTAGTGCTATTAGATGTATATAATACGTACCTCGTTTAATAGCGAGGGTGCTATTAAATGACCTTATAAATAGGGATAGTCAATCGTTTATAGATAAGCTGTTACGGGCTTAGCGGAGGGACGCCTTTGCTACTAAACGTATAGACAAGCTTGTAAGTAGGCGAAAGACTCGATCTAGTAAGAGTAATTAGTCGATCGACGACAAAGGTTACTTAAGGTTTAAGGGCAGATACTATATCCCCGCTAAACATTCGATCCGATAAGAGCTTCTCAAGCGACACTATAATAGTAAGCTTGCCGGTCACTATAGTACAGAGAGGTCGCACGAGCTACTATCGCGCATATACTACTAGCTAAATAGTAAGCGGGATATAAAGGACTACGTAAACACGTATGCCGTATATTAACGAGTTAAAGCACTAAAGCACTTACTATTTAGCGAGTTGTCTTTACTCCCTATTCTAAAGAAGCCATTTGTAGAGCTTATAATAGACTTTATTATAGGCCTTCTATCTACTAAACGCAGGGGCAGTAAGGACATCTTCGATGCTATCCTTGTTATAGTAGATCGGTTTACTAAAGGCGCTCGATACATCCTAGCACGGAAGGATTGGACTGCTATTAATATAGTAGAGGCTCTATAGAGCAACATCTTCTGTACCTATTAGGGGACCCCTAAGGGGATAGTCTCTAACCGGGGTACGACATTTACATCCTATTATTAGAGCGAGATATGCCTATAGCTAAGACTAAAGCATCGGCTATTAACAGCCTTCTATCTATAGACTAACGGTTAAACAGAGAGGCAGAATGCTACCCTGTAGCAGTACCTACGTAGTTATATTAACGAGAACCCTAACGACTAGGTCAACCTCCTACAGCCTATAGAATTCGTATATAATAATAGTGTACACTTATCTACTAAGGTTTTACTATACATAGCTATAATAGGCTAGAACGCCGCCTTACTATAAGATCTATTTACCTCGCTCGAGGCCGAGCGCAAGGAAAGGGAAGCGCGTCAAGTACCCGAAACACTAGCGGCTATTAAGAGGGTTTAGAAGATGCGAGAAATCTATACTAAGATAGCCGAGAAGTTGATAAAGGCTTAAGAGTACTAAAAGACCTACTACGACAAGCACTATACGCTAATAACCTTTAAACAAGGCGATATAGTTATACTAAGTACTAAGAACCTCCGCATCCGCAAACACCTATTACCTAATAGTAAAACAAGGCCCAAGCTCGCACTAAGATACATTAGCCCATTTCGCATCCGAGAACCGAAGGGTAGTAGCTAGGCCTATCAGTTGTAGCTTCTACCTTATTATACTATCTACGATACCTTCTATATATCCCTCCTTAAGCCGTACTACCTACGCGAAGGGGATAAAGCCCCTGCAGAACACGAAGACATACTAGCGGACGGTAAAGAGCTGTAGTCTATAGAACGTATCTTACAGTACCGGACTAGGTAAGGCAAGAAGGAGTACCTGTTAAGATAGCAAGGCTATTTACCTAAATAGGACTTATAGGAAGCTAAAGGTTCCTTTAAGGATATAACTAAGTTGTTAGATAAGTATTGGACTAGTGTAAAGAACAAGAAGAAGGCTAAGGGCCTATAATATCGCCTAGGAACAATGCTACCCCCGGGGTGCTATTAGCTAACTAATTAGAGGCCGGCAAACTAGGACAATAAGACTATACTAGGCGCGCTACGACGCGTCTATCTGTTAATCGCATACTCTTTTAAGGACTCTAACTCTTTACTAACGCGCCCTGTAGGTCCCCCTCTTATTCTCTTATTCTATCGGGGCCTCGAGGCCTAGGCAATCGGCGAAGACGGCGCGGCCGGCGCGGCTATGTTAGTAACGGTGTTGCGGAGTATACTGTTAGTTAAAGAAGAAGATTAGAAGCGAGGTGAAGTTAGCGCTAAGACGACTAGCGCCGCTATTGTTAATATTACCTAGTCGCTACTATTGTTAACCTTACCTGCGTTAAAACTTTAAGGCACCTTTAATTAAAACTTTAATCAAAGCTTTAAGCCTATTAAAGGTTTAATTAAAACTTTAAGCCGCCTAAAAGATTGAGCGACTAATAGACTAACTAAGGGCAAAACTATAGAGCTAAGCTAGCCGGGGTCGATCTTGCGAATAATAGGTTACTCCTCGATCTTTCCGACCCTTTAAGCGAGGCGAACCTCTACTACTATACTTACAATAGCCTTTACCTATAGAAACTAGAAGAACTGAGTTTTTTAAAAAGATATAATTAGGTAATACTTAAAGGCTGCTAAACCTAACTAATTTAGGCTAGTAAAACTACGATAGTAAATAATAGCCCTCGTAATAATAAGAACAACCCTCGGAAGCGGACAAACCCTCGGAGCGGACATTTCTAGATCTATTAGAGTAGACGCAAAGAACTCGTACGACATTACTTAGAACGAAGGCAGTACTATAATACCTCGTACGTCTACCTATTATAGTAGGGAAGACGCGCTCGTATTATAATTAGTCGATAGTCCTCAATTCTTATAGCTTTATATCCCTTTACTTTATTATATATAAGGATAGCGCAGTTAGAGTTAGACGTTGTGTTAGAAAGTAAGGTTTGATATAGTTATATAATTAGGTAGTTAAGTGTTTAATTTAGCGCGAGCTAAGTAGTCTATTAGACTTACTAAGTTAGTAGCAATAGAGGTCGAAACTAATAGGCTACGAGGGCGCGGCCTTTAGAAGGGAAGCGTGTATTAGGGCTAAAGAGGCTATACGTGATTAGTATGTAACTAGGCCGAGTAAAGCTAGGGTCTCGATGCCTTAGGCAGGGCTCGGCGCTTGGCGTTAGGCCAACTCTCCTGCCTTCTTCCCTCTCCTTCTAGATCCCTATCGAATACTACTCGTACCTACTACTACCCTATCTACCTACTAACATACCCTTCTCACATTTAACTGCTGTCTATTTAAACCCCTTTGTTTGCTTTATTTAGCTGTATGCACGCGATAAGGGGGTAACTTAAAGAGTGTGTGTAGTGTAGTATTACGTACATGATGCCTCAGGCTGCAACTGCCGCACTTCTTCTTCCGACTTTCTCGTAGATAGTCTCTCTCGAATACATCAGTTACATTCAAGTCGAAGTGCGTATCGAAGGAGATTTGAAAATTTCTCCCTCTAGGCCCTCCACATCATCAGCCTTCCATTCTACCACACTAAACTCCAATGCACGAGCTATCGTTGTGAAGATGATCCTCGCCTCCGAATTTCACATCTCACACACCACACCACACCACATTTCATCATCCCACCATCATTGTTCAAAACAAGTCCCACGCACAATCTTAACGCAGCAGCAAACAAAATGCCCAATTTCGAAAAGAAATATCAAGGAGCTGATTGATTGACACATGAACTTAGGCGTAGACGTATTTTCTAATTTCAATACCAGGGCAGCGACAATCTAAACAAAAATACGATCATCATCAATCTTGCCAGTACTATTATTATTTTCTGCAATGACCAGGAAAATGAAAGACGGGCAGACTGAAACGCAATTCCAATTCCACAAACTTTTTTTTTCTTTTTTTCAAATTTCATCTCTTTCCGCGCACGAGTCAGTGTGATAGAACACCAGGTCATAAAAGTCGAATATCACATCTCCAGTTACTTCTCTTCCTCCGCGTAACCCACGTCAACACCACCATCCATCATGTCCTCTCGAACCCCCACTCCCGAACCCCAACCCCAACAGCAGTACCCCGGCGACGACATCCTCCCCGACGCGCAAATCATCCACGACCAAAAACGCACCATCAAAGCCCCCGCCTCAGAAATCTTCCCCTGGTTACGCCAATTGGGAAAAGGACGAGGAGGCTGGTATTTGCCGTCGAAATTCGAAAAAATCCTACCACCAAACCTCCGCGCTTCGAGAGTCATCGACGAGCGCTGGCAGGGTATGGTCGAAGGGGATAAAATCCCGGACTACGGCTTCAGTAAACATGATTATTTCCTCGTGAAGAAGGTTGAAATCAATCGATCGATTGTGTTTTTGTCGTCCCGGGGTGGGTTTGTGTATACTTGGGCGCTGCTTTTGCAGGAGTTGAATGGGTCGGATCCGGAGCCGGAGACTTTGGTGCATTTGAGGTTGAGGGGGAGGGTTCAGGCGACGGGGTGGAAGCAAAAGGCTTTGGTGAAGGGGGGTGAGGTTTTGGATGCGGCGGCTGCGGCGCCGTTGTTGTCGGGGATTGCGGATCGGTGTGAGAAGAAGGTTGAGAGGCCGGCGGCGAAGTTGGAGAAGGCTGAGAAGCGGAGATCGGGGTGAGAGGTGGGCTTTTTGCGATTGGGAGGGCGACGCAGCGGCACAGACGGTGTTCGCCATGATCGAGAGCTTTGTCGGTGGGTGTGAGCTTTGCGGAGTCGGAGCTTCAGCCAGCGGTTCATTTCACGAGTGGTTCATCGTATGGGCCGAAGAAGGCGATCTCGACGGCCTCTGCGGCCCAGAAGGAAAGGGTATCGAAGAGGCCGGGCCACATTGCTTCCTGCTTTTGCTTGCCGGCGCTCGCGGCGTTTCTTGCTCCTTGCTCGGCTTGGTATTTCTCTGCGACTTGCTTGAGGCTGTCGGCAGCCTTGGAATTGCTCAATTGCAGTGTCAGCACATGCCCGCTTTTGCTTCGATAGCTGAGTTTGCGAGTGTCGGGTGATAGAAACATGGGTCGAGGTGTTTCGGTTGTTTGTGTGGTAGTAGCACCCATATTGGCAGGCAATATCAAGTTTGTTCACGCGTCTGAGTCTTGGGGGCTCACGGTCTTAGCCAATGTCGTCAGTGGTATCGATGCGCGATCTGTAATATCCTCCGCGATGTGTGTCGAATTGAGTTGAAAGGCTCGCCATGGCCATGGCTACAATGGGTGTGCAGACGATATATACTGCGGCGGTATAGTTCGGTAAGGAAGATGCGCGTGTCCAGGTAGTTCTTGTGGATTTGTGACGTCAATTGGCACGATATCCTGTGAAGAAGTCAAGGTGATAATGATCTCAAAGAGCATCACCAAGCATCACTGGCGCCGAAACTAGCTGGTTTGCGGGCTCACCTGACCCGGCTAACAACGGCCATCTCGCGATCGGAGTCGGGCACTGATCTCACAACCGGAATGTGCTCGTGTGACCGACTCCGATGTGAAGAGAGCAGCCACATCGCGGGCAGATCGAGTGTCAGGCCGAATGTGGTGGCTGGTATAGCTGGTTGGCAGCGCAGCTGCCAATCTAGACACCGCGGCCACCGCCCGCGAAAATCCAAGTTGTCCGCCAAGACCGAAATGATTGGCTGAGAAATTTCGCAGAAGTAATGTGCAATCAAAGATTGAAGGGAAATTTGACTTACCCCGGATTTCAGCGTAGAACGTCAGTCGAAACAAATATTAGAGGGAAATTTGACTTGCCCCGGATTTTAGCGTAGAACGCAAATCGAAAGCGCTTAACGAACCCCGGATATAAGCGTAATGCGCTAACAAAAATTCAGTAGGAGCTTACCGTATACTAAAGACCTAGATATAGCTATATCCTACTAAATACGAAGCCTATCGACTAGTATAAAGGTCCCTATAGCGAAAATGTTAGTAAGACTACTAATAGTACTATTGATTTTAATAAAGCTATTAGTAGAGCTACTAGTAACTTTAGACTATTAGACTATTAGTAGGGCTACTAGTAGGCAACTACTAGTAGGGCTAGGTATTAAGAAAACTATTAACAAACCTATTAGTTAAACTATTAGGTAAACTTTTGCTGTTAGATAGACTATTGGATAAACTGTTGGCTAAACTGTTGGTAAACCTAATAATAGAACTAAAAATAAAACTAAAAATAAAACTAATAACTCAAATAGCACTAATAGTAAAACTGTTAGTAAAACTACTAATAGGACTATTAATAAAACTACTAATAAAACTAATAACAAAACTACTAATAAAACTACTAGTAAAACTACTAAGACTACGAGCTAACCTACGAATAGGACTACTAATTAAAGTACTAAGACTACTAACTAAACTAGAAACAAAACTATTAACAAAACTACTAATAAAACTATTAATAAAACTACTAATAAAACTATTAAAGAAACTACTAATAAAATACTAATTAAAATTTTCGTTAAACAGAAACTAGTAATCGAACTGCTAATTAAACTATTAGTTAAATAGTTAATTAAGCTATTTATAAAATTACTAATAAAACGACTAATTAAACCACTAGTTAAGCTACTAGTTAAACTACTAATTAAACTACTAACGAAATTTTAAATTAAACCGTTACTAGTAATTAAAATGCTAATCGGACTACTCGCTAAACTACTAATCGAACTACTAATCGATCTACTAATCGTCCTACTAATCGACCTACTAACCGACCTGCTAATCGTCCTACTAATCGACCTATCTCTATTTAGAAGCTAGTAACTTAGTACTATATACTTTAAATTATATAATTTATCGGGGGACTAGCTACTAATAAAATACTAGTTAAAACTTCCGTTAGACTAAAACTAGTAATCGAACTCCTAATTAAACTATTAATTAGATATTTAATTAAACTGCTAATTAACTTGCTAATTAAACTACTAATTAAACTACTAATTAACCTACTAATAAAACTACTAGTAAAACTACTAATTCTACTACTAATAAAACTACTAATTAAACTACTAATTAAACTACTAATTAAACTACTAATTAAACTACTAATTAAACTACTAATTAAACTACTAATTAAACTACTAATTAAACTACTAATTAAACTACTAATTAAACTACTAATTAAACTACTAATTAATCGAACTACTAATTAAACTACTAATTAAACTACTAATCGAACTATTAATCGAACTATTAATCGAACGATTAATCGACCTACTAATTAATATACTAATCGACCTATCTCTATTTAGAAGCTAGTAGTTTAGTATTATTATTTATATACTTTAAACTATATAATTTATCGGGGTACTAGCTACTACTAAAATACTAATTAAAATTTCCGTTAAACTAAAACTACTAATCGAACTACTAATTAAACTATTAATTAAACTACTAATCAAACTACTAATCAAACGGGTAGTTAAACTATTAATTAGACTATTAATTAAACTACTAAATACGTTTTAAATCAAACTATTACTAGTAATCGAACTTCTATTTAAATTTCTAATTAAACTATTAATTAAACTATTAATCAAACTATTAATCGAACTATTAATTAAACTATCAATTAAACTATTAATTAAACTATTAATTAAACTATTAATTAAACTATTAATTAAACTATTAATTAAGCTATTGATTAAACTCTCAATCGAACTATTAATTTAACTATTAATCGAACTATTAGTCGAACCGTTAATCGACCTCTACTAATCGACCTATCTCTATTTAGAAGTTAGTAATTTAGTATTCTACACTTTAAACTATATAATTTATCGGGGGACTAGTAGTAGAAATAACTAGTATAATAGCTAAATCTATAATAGCTAGATAGTATAGCTTAAAGCTATTAATCTCTAAGAATTATACTACTAGACTTACTAGCTAGAGGATAACTACTAGTAATTAGGGGGTTATATATAATATATCTAGGCCTCTACTAAGGTAGTATATCTATTCTTTTAGTATCTATTCTATATATAGCCTAAATAATTAAGTTTTATTTATATATTTTAAGCTAAGTTTAATAACTTTTACTACTAGTAAATTTACTACTAAAGTCTAAATCGCTATTTTAGTATATAGCTAAAGTCCTATTCTCTCTTACTATAGCAATTAGCTAAGTAGTACTTAGTATTTACTATAGATATATTTAATTTTCTAACTAAATATTTAAAGCCTACTAACTAAGAGTCTAAGAGAATTAATAGCGCGCGTCTAGACTAGTAGCAAACTACTACTTAGATACTAGTACTTATACTAAGCCCTACTAAACTATATACTATAGCTAGAACAAACTACTATATAACTTAAAAAAGCATAACTATAATTAAGAATTGTAAGATTAGTAAATTTTCCTTTATAAACTAGGGTATAGAGATATATAGAAACTAAAATTATAGTATTCTCTATAACTAGTATATTTACTTTCTATATATACGTTTATATATAGATAGATAGATAGATATTTCATTTGCCTGTTGTAGTGCCTTTCGGCCTATGTAGGTCTGTTTCTATATATTGTTTTAGGTAGGAAACCAACTTAGTTAGTAAAAACCTCCCTCCTGTCCTATTTATAAGTGTTAATCTTCCTTGTTTCCTTATTCTCCTTCCTCTAGGGTATACTAGTGTTATAGTTGTTACCCTCTGACTACCTTGCCTACTGCCTTGCCCTTCTTTCCCCCTCTTTTTCCCTCCTTCTTATCTACTCCTTAGTTTCCCTTACTAGTGCGAATTGTTATACAAATCCCTGTTTGATAATCTACTTTACTATCCTCTTTAGGTCTTCTTTGCTCTAGATTAGCTTGTCGTATTCCCTTTCTATTGCTTTTAGTCTCTAATTACTTCTACCTTCTAACTATTAAGGGCAGACTAGCAGTATATGCTTAGGGTTCTAAGATTAGTAGCTATATTAGCAAGCTCTGCTTTCAATTCCTAGGACGTTTCTTCTAAATAGGTAAGATCTAAATCCAATGTGTTTAGATCTGATTTAGATAGCTAGGCTTGCCTCGGCCCTATTTAGGTCCTTATAGAGCTAGTAGTTATATTAACTAAATTTGATTAGTGCCTTTAGGGTTCCTAGTCTAACTTGTGTTTTGTTCTATTCCTACTCCTATAGGTATCTAGCAATTGATTCTGCTAGGCTTTATTTCTCTCCCTTTAGTTTGTCTTCCTTTAGCCTTATATTTAGTCCCTAAAGCTCTTTCTCTAGCATTTCTCTTGTTAAGACTCTATATTGCTCTAGGTCTTTGACTTTCTAGGGAGTTATTTATAGTCTATCTCGCCTCCTAGTCCTAATGTACTAGGCTTTTATCTTGTCTAGTGCCTTTTAGATAGTCTATTAGGCTAGGTATTCTATTATCTTTGCTATATATTAGTATCTTAGTCCCTTGAAGTATTATTTAACTAGTAGGATCCCTAATTCCATTTCTACTACCCTTATTAGTATAGTTTTATATACTCCTAGGATTTTCTTTAGGCTTTAGGTTTAGGACCTGCTAACTAGTTACTCAATCCTCTTTAGTGTTTTCTCCTAGGCTGTCTATATCTGTGCTCTATATAGCATTACTAGCTTAACAATTGCTTTATATATAACTTTAGCTTTCTCGAATATAGCCCCCTATATAGAGGCTATAAGCCTATTA